AATTGCATTGACAGTTTAATCACTCACCAAACAGCACCAGGAACTCCACGTATGATCCCGTGCAATTTTCGCGCCAAAGTTTAACCTCATTTACAACACCCGTAGTACATGGAACGTTACATGATAATAAGATTCCCAGCGTTGATTGTCAGAGAAATGAGTGCAATCTATTGTACATGTTATGCATTGCATAGTCATCGGAAAATTCCATATTCACTGTAAATTTCAAATGGAGTTACGATAAAAGTTGTTTTTTTATGTATAGAAATGGTTATTATTATTATATATAGCTAATAATGAATATATCGACAAATGACGGGCACCATTTGTATTTCCGTACTTAAGTTTGGGATATCAAGTATTACGGGGTTATCCAAATTACCGGTAAATGCGCTAATTTCTTGAGTCATCTTCATTTGACACGTGGCCTATTTAAACAAAGGCAGCTTAAATTGATCTACGGCATGATAAATTCACTCTAAAATATTCCAATTCCAAATGTCTAATCTATACCAATGAAAGACGATAATTCGGTGATTATGATTAGGCCAGTCACGTTGTAATTGGACCGTAAAATAATAGACGCTTGTCAACTTGCCGTGTGTATTGATAGTGCTATATTGTACAAACAGTGAGATATTGTATAGATAATGTATATCCTATGTGTAGTGCCTGTGACGTCACCAGCGAATCAACCGGATTAAGGTCGTAATTGAAAAATCGAAAAGCGTTTTGGCGTGTCGGACACTTAAACGTTAACAGCCGACTTAATTTTAATCAGATTGGTGTGAACTTGCCGTAAAGTTGATATAGTAACCATGGGCTATACGTCCATGAAATTTAGATTTTTGATCTTACGTGGTCTTTAAAGCATGATTTCCGACATATGTTTTACTTGGCGGAATCCACATTGATTCGGATTATGGAATTACACAAATCTTCAAGTCGGCAATTCACATAAATTTTTAGTCCAGACGATGTCGATGAAATATAATTATTACAATATTCATATGGATCAAAATAAGAACCAAAACAATTTAATCGTGTTTGTGTACCTACATGGATAATGTGTGACGTGGAAAATTAAAGTTAGGTTGCCAGGCAACGAAACATACGCCCACAGCAGCTAAACCGTCCGAGCGGTTGACAAGGGTTGTCGCATATTCATTCCTTTGTAGGTAATTGGGGGCCTTTACAAGACAGTTCGATACAGATCAGATTATAATTTTTGCCATTTGAGGGTTCACAAGGTTCTACAAACTGAAACAAGAGTCTCTACTCTGAAAGTAATCTACAGAAATTGTTGAAATTTGACAGGCTTTTTCATTTTACTAATTTAAATAATGCATATAAATTTCATACTGATCAGATGATCACTTTTGTCCACAAGGTTCAGGACCGCCATAACTCTGCTTCAAAAATTTAAATGATGCATATAAATTTCATACATATCGGATTATAACTTTCATAACTCTAGACATAATGAACAGAAATTATTGAAATTAAATAGGCTTCTTCGTTTCACTAATTTAAATCATGCATATAAATTTCACAGAGATTGGGTGATCACTTTCAGCGTTAGAGCGTTCAAAAGGTTAAACAAAGTGAAACAAGGGCCATAACTTTAGAAGTAATAAACAGAAATTGCTGGAATTCAATAGGCTTCTTTGTTTCCCTCATTTAAATATTGCATATAAATTTCACAAAAAACATTGTGACTGATAAATTGAGACAACAATGCTCTCTAACATCATAAAAACAATTTTGGTATGCGAATTACGTCATAAATTGGTCGGCTGGACAGAGTTATAAATAGATCAATGACATTAACTTCCCAGCAAATGGTTGACTTAGATGCATTTGACATGTCCCCTATACACATATAAAATGTGCCACAAGCTAAAAGATAGGTTGCCTGGCAACGAAACATACGCCCACAGCAGCTAAGTTGTCCGAGGTGTCAACAAGGGTTGACGCATATTTTTTTAAAATCTGATTACAAGTAACATTAATCATACAAAACATCTAGTATAAATTTCCATAATCATTGGAAATAGTTGAAAATTGACAGGCTTCTTCATCCCATGACCTAAAACACTGTATGTATAACTTTTAAGTCAATCAGTTATTAACTTTAGACTCAACTGCGTCTACAAAATTTTCAACTCTGGCAGTAATTATCGGAAATAACTGAAAATCAATAAGCTTCTTCGTCTCATGACCTTAAATACTGTGTATAAATTTAAAGTCAATTGAGTATTAACTATAGCATCTAGAGCGTCCACAGGATATTTCAAAGTGATCATGGGCCATAACTCTGGCAGTAATTATCGGATATCATTGAAAATCAATCAGCTTCTTCGTCTCATGACCTTAAAGTCAATCGGATGTTAACTTTAGCCTCAAAAGCGTCCACAGACGGGGGCGACAACAATATACAACCACCTTTCAAAGTGATCAAGGGCCATAACTGGCAGTAATTATTATTGGAAATCTCTGAAAATCAATAAAGTTTTTCATCTCATGACCTTAAACACTGTGTATAAACCTACAGCCATTCGGATATTAACTTTAGCGTCCACAATCCGGATGGACAGGGGCAACGACAATATTCGACTACATTTCAATGTGGGTGTATAAAAACTCAAGCACATGCAAACAGATCGAATAATTGTAACAGCGCCTGATCTTAAAGTAGCCCATGTTTGTGTTGTTTACTAATTAGAAAATAAACTAGCGGCTGCCAGGCAGGATACGCTCACATTTTGCAAGAGATGGATAGAGAGCAAGCTAAAAACAAACATGTTTTTTTGTACAATCAGGGGCAACAATCCAGAAAGTTATGGCCTGAAATGTGCAAATATCAAAAGGGACAGAGATCTTTGGGCTATAAAGATATGTTTTAAGTTTCATCAAAATGAGATAAAAATTGTGACCTCAAGAGGGTCCACAACCTTTGTATTACACACTTCTAAACAATTTGCATACAAAGAGCGGCCATTTTGTCGGGCAGTTTCATTTTGATTTTCCCTGAAATACAAATTCAACCTTCATTATGGTGTAATGGAATGAAATGGAGTTTAACGTCCTACTGTTCTGCTCCTAAATGGTGGAATGGTGATGTTTTTAAACGGTTTTTAAAATCAGAAAAAAAAACTGTGACCTCTAGAGAATCCACAAGCTAAAAATATGATTTTTCGAACAATCAGGGGCCATGCCCATAATCCAGGAAGTTAAGTTCTGGTATCCACGATTATCAAAAGGAACCAAGATCTTAGTGAGTAATGGTGATATATTCACACATTTTTTTTTTTAAATCGGATAAAAATTGTGACCTCAAAACATGATTTTTTGTTCAATCAAGGGCCATAATTCAGGAATAATGCACGAATATTGAAAGGAACCAATATCTTTGGGTTATAAACATGTATTTCAAGATTCATTGAAATCAGATGAAAATTGTGACCTCTAGAGGGTCCACAACCTTGATTTACCAGATGTTTACACTATTTGCGGACAAGGGCGGCCATTTTGGCCTTATTTTCAAGAAATTCGAACTCAACAAACATTACGGAGTAGCGGTAATATATTTGAACGTTTTCTTTTTTAAATCGAATAATAATTGTGATCTCTAGATGGACCACAAGCTAAAAACGTGATTTTGCATACAATCAGAGGCCATAATTCAGGAAGTTACGATATGCACGAATATTGAAAGGAACCGAGATCTTTGGGTTATAAACTTGCATTTCAAGTTTCATCAAAATCGGATCAAAACTGTGGCCTCTAGTGGGTCCACAACTTTGATATACCAGATGTTTACACTATAAATTTGCGTTCGAGGGGCCGCCATTTTGTCTGGCAGTTTTGGTCTGATTTTCATGAAATTCTAACTCAACCTTCCTTTGGGTGTAATGGTGATATATTCTATAATTTTTTTAAATCGGATAAAAATTGTGACCTCTATGGGGTTCACAAGCTAAAAATGCGATTTTTCGTACAATCAGGGGCCATAATTCAGGAAGTTAGGGTCTGATATGCGCGAATATCAAAAGGAACCGAGATCTGTGGGTTATAAACATGCATTTCAAGTTTCATCAAAATCAGATGAAAATTGTGAGCTCCAGAGAGTCCACAACCCTGATACACAATATTTTGACACTATTTGCGAACAAGGGTGCAGCGATTTTGTCTGTCAGTTTCAGAGAGAGAGAGAGAGAGAGAAATGGGGTTTAACGTCCACTGGACACAAACTAGGTTATTTCGGGACTAACACAGGGTTCAATTTTATTTCAATAATTCGCTTGCACGTAGGGGTCTTTAGCAGTGGGAGGAAACCAGAGGACCCAGAGAAAACCCACGGGGTTGGACTGTCAGTTTCGGTCCGATTTTTACGAAATTCGAACTCAACCACCCTTAGGCTGTAACAGTGATACATTGTAACGTTTTTTAAAATCCGATAATAATTGTGACATCTAGAGCGACCCAAAGCTAAAAACGCCATTTTTCGTACAATCAGGGGCCATAATTCAGGAAGTTATGGTCCGATATGCGCGAATATCGAAATGAACCGAGATCTGTGGGTTATAAACATACATTTCAAGTTTAAACCAAATCGGATAAAAATTGTGACCTCTACAGTGTTCACAAGCTAAAAACGTGATTTTTCGTACAATCAGGGGCCATAATCCATGAAGTTACAGTCTGATACATGCCAATATCAAAAGGAACCGAGATCTTAGGGTGATAAACCTATATTTCAAGTTTCCTTGAAATCGGATAAAAATTGTGACCCGTAGGCCCTAGAGTGTTCACAAACAATAATTGTGGACGGACAGACAGGGGCGACGGCAATACTTACAATCTAAGCACAAGAATGTTTTTAAGGTAAGTTTACTTAAATGCAAAGTCTACTTAAAATCTAAGTACAAGAACGTGCTTAAGAATTTTCTAGGAATCGGGCCCAGGCCTTTAACCCAATATGTACTGTAAGTACATACTAGTATAATCAGTCATTTCTTCTGGAGCATCTCTATCTAATGCAATAGCTTCTATATTTCTCCAATGATTCTGTAAAACTGGATTCTCAAAATTCTCACTACTGAATTGAAACTGTAGTTTCTTAATCAATTCCTTGGCTTTGTCAATTTGATCTGTTGTGGCTGAAAATATATTTGTGTATTTTTTTTTATGTCATAGCAAAATAAACAACAAGCCTCGGTCATAAACAAAATTGACTCTCACTAGATAAGAGAACATGAAAGAAAAATAGAAAAAGTCTGTGCATTACCATGATTTTATAAGTATAGAATGAATAAACACCCGTGAATGTACGGACTGTTTCTATTTTTCTTGTGTTCTCTTATCTAATGACATGCAATTACTTTTTTGAATTGTCAGATATACTCTGACTGACACCAATATTGTCCTTTAAAGTGAATAGAAGTAGTTTTCATTGACTTCTGGTGGGTAATACCAATTTCCAGTGTCAAACTCTGATCGATTTCAGCTTAGAGAAATCTATCTCGCAGTACCACTTTTTGTGGCTTCTGAGGCATAGTAAAATGTTTCATGTAGTCAATATAGGGTGATTGGAATGTTTGTCACGAGATTCAAGACAAATTTGACATTTGTAACAAAAACAAAATAAATACAACACAGTCCACTACATCAGTTATTCATCATCCTCGTCCCCCTGCACATTTCTGATCACATTGGTAGAGAGTCCCTATCAAAACCCTTGTTGCAGAGCAGGATTCTTAATCCATTTTGAAATGAACCGGCCACGGTTAGGCCTAACGGATAGTCGTCTTTTCAACAACAAACATCTTAGTTTATGCATACTCTATTCATGACAGTAATTGCATAATTCACTAATTGCATAATGTATTTCACTATTTGGGATAATAATAGCCGAAACTCTGTATAAACAAGCCAACAGTGAGGCTGATGTCCCCCGCCGAAATAGGAAAATAATTAGAGGACACATATAAATTTATCACAAATTATCTTTTACAAAGTATTGAACAATCGTAGGAGAGTTATTGTTTTCCAAAGTCTCGACCAATCAAATTGCGTATCGCTCTGCTTACCCTGAGCAGAAAATGCTCATTATCAAACTTAGTCAAGGTATTACTGTAATGAAACTATACACCAAGTTTCATCAATCTCACTTAATTAGAACTAAAGTTATCGTGTCCCAAAGCATCAACCAATCAAATTGCTTATCTCTGCTTACCCTAAGCGGAAAATGCTCATCTTCGAACTCCATCAAGGCATTGACCTAATCAACACATACACCAAGTTTGAACATTCTAGCTCAATTAGGAAGAGAGTTATCGTGCCCCAAAGTATCAACCAATCAAATTGCTTATCTCTGCTTACCCTAAGCGGAAAATGCTCATCTTCGAACTCCATCAAGGCATTGACCTAATAAACACATACACCAAGTTTGAACATTCTAGCTCAATTAAAAGTTATCGTGTCCCAAAGCATCAACCAATCAAATTGCTTATCTCTGCTTACCCTAAGCAGAAAATGCTCATCTTCGAACTCCATCAAGGCATTGACCTAATCAACACATACACCAAGTTTGAACATTCTAGCCCAATTAGGAAGAGAGTTATCGTGTCCCAAAGCATCAACCAATCAAATTGCTTATCTCTGCTTACCCTAAGCGGAAAATGCTCATCTTCGAACTCCATCAAGGCATTGACCTAATAAACACATACACCAAGTTTGAACATTCTAGCTCAATTAGGAAGAGAGTTATTGTGTCCCAAAAAGTGTGACGGACAGACAGACGGACGGACAGACGGACAGACAGACGGACGGACAGACGGACGGACAGACGGACGAACCCATTTTAATAGTCCCCTGCTTTCTTCGAAAGGCGGGGGACAACAAGACCATAGTAATTGCATACTTGCATTCATACATCGCTATAATATCAACATTTTAGTCATATTATTTCAGCAATTTGCATTGCATATTCCTACTTTTGGTTTCATCCAACTAAACGGAAGTTATAAATTAGTAAAAACTACAAGTACATACAAATGTTTTTTTAAATTATTTTATTCGTAAGCACATGTTAAGTATATAAGTATATAAATAACAAAGTAGCACAAATCGGTTTCCGTGTATAGTCGAAACTCGGAAATCACTCGGCAAACCTTGGCAGATTCCGGTACCCTGTCGAGGTTTGCCGAGTGCTCGGAAATATGCTGTACGGGCGAAAGGTCACGTGGCCAATTGTCGTGATTCCGATTAGTTTATTTTTAGCATTACCGGTATACAAATGTCGGGATTTAATGCAGCAGGACTAGTTCGGATATCTGAGAGGATCTCTTCCTCAATTTCACTGGATATTAAAGAAATAAATTCACCACAACAATTAAGATAGGTTGCCAGGCAATGAAACATACGCCCACAGCAGCTAAATCGTCCGGGCAGTCAACAAGAGTTTTACTTTTTTCGGTAATGAAACATTTAGAATACACTAAAATCTGATTAAGAGCAACAACTCAGAAAACCATTAGAATTTGTTTGGTTTTTATAAAGTTCTGCCCCATTCTAACGTTTTGTATACAAAACTTTTAATACTGTATCATGGATTTAGCTGTTCCAAGTCATAAAAATTCATTGAAAATCAATATACTTGTTCGTCTCAAGATCCTAAACTCTGTGTATCAATCTGAAGTCAATCGGATATTAACTTAGGCCTCCAGAGCGTCCACAAGATTTGTTGAAGTGATCAAGGGCCATAACCCTGGCAGTAATTAACAGAAAACGCTGAAAATCAATACGCTTCTTCGTCTCATGACCTTAAACACTGTGTATAAAATTCATAAAAGTCATAAAAATTCATTGAAAATCAATATACTTGTTCGTCTCAAGATCCTAAACTCTGTGTATCAATCTGAAGTCAATTGGATATTAACTTTGGCCTCTACAGCGTCCACAAGATTTTTTAAAGTGATCAAGGGCCATAACTCTGGCAGTAATTATCAGAAATCGCTGAAAATCAATAGGCTTCTTCGTCTCATGACCTTAAACACTGTGTATAAATTTAAAGTCAATAGGATATTAACTTTGGCCTCTAGAGCGTCCACAAGATTTTTTGAAGTGATCAAGGACCATAACTCTGGCAGTAATTATCGGAAATCGATGAAAATCAATAAGCGTCCTCGACTCATGACCTTAAACACTGTGTATAAATTTAAAGTCAATCGGATATTAACTTTGGCCTCTAGAGCGTCCACAAGATCTTTTGAAGTGATCGAGGGCCATAACTCTGGCAGTAATTATCAGAAATCGCTGAAAATCAATAGGCTTCTTCGTCTCATGGCCTTAAACACTGTATATAAATTCAAAGTCAATCGGATATTGCTTGTGGACGCCGGACCGACGGACGGACGGAGGCGACGACAATATACGATATTTCAATGTGGGCGTATAAAAATCACGATATAGTTTTTTTTGTCATTTCATGATCCTGCTGTTCTGTCAAATCGTTCAATTATTGTTCATAATTTCCGATGGCAATGTTTCTTTTTGCTATGGAATACGCATTTCAGATTAACGCCCGGTTTGAAACAATTTCTATAGATTTGGGAATTAAACTCTTTGTTCTGTCATCGTCTTTCTTTGCTGCGCAGATATGATCGTCAGATTAATACGGTCTTTTATTGCCGATAATTTGGTTGACCTATATTGCACGTGGGAGGATCTCCGGCTTTTGGAACTTCCATTGACGACGTGCATGCTTGAAGTTCAAGGTCAACGCCGCCATCACTATCTTCAGTTAAATCTCGTTTACGTTTCTTGGTGTCATTCTGCGAGGTGTTCAAGTACTTGGCATGATTACCTCAATTAAGTTGTTTATTTATGAAATAAGCCGAAGGTATTCTTTGTAATGATTGACTCTTTGATGGCGTCAAGTACTTGGCATGATTACCTCAATTAAGTTGTTTATTTATGAAATAAGCCGAATGTATTCTTTGTAATGATTGACTCTTTGATGGGTTTCTTAATCGACGAGTAATAATTAACTCTTTTGTAATCGGCCGAAAGTCGATTGATTTATGATACCATTAGTGGCCGGTTCATTGTTTTAACAATCGGCCTGATAATTAATTCTTTGTAAATTGGCCGAAAGTAGATTGATTTGTGATACCTTAGTGGCCGGTTCATTGTTTTACCAATCGGCTAGATTAAAGATCAATCGGCTAAAGCCAACAAAAAACAGCCGATTAAGATCCCTGTTGCAGAGAGATGTACAAAGCAGACCATTATTGCGGCAATTGCATTGCCCCATGCAGCCTGTTTTACAACCACATTTTGTGAGTTTGGTATGAAAATGATTTTGCTGATGACAACATGCGTGATGAATAAGGGAGAACAAATGAATATGGTGATGATGAAAATGACAAAAGAAGGGATTTTTTTGTAAAAATGTTTTTTATTGCAAAAATGGTTCCCTCAACGTTATACTTTTGCAATATCAACCATTTTTGCAATAAAATTTTAATAATGAAAAACTGCTATCACTTTCATAACGAGAGCATCGCTAACGCAAAATACGTCCACATTCCTGCTTTGATTGATATGGTACTTTTTTAAAATGAAGAGAATGAAATATGAAATGGCTGCAATGACTGTAATATGACAAGAGGCAAAGAAAGCTAGGTGTTGGGTTTGTTTTGCCAAATTTACAGACAAAATATTAACAAAAAAGTGGGTGTGACACAACCCCAGGAGGTTGGGGCATGAACCAAAATAAATAGTTGCTGTCTTTACGGTATAAGGAATAATTATGCAAGTTAGAAGATGATCCATTAAGAATTGTAGCCGGTAGATGATATATACGAAAATTGGGCATGGCTGTGCCCCTGGGGGTTGGATATGGAACAATATAAATAGGTACAACCCTGTTACTGAAATAAATGATATGCTGGATTTGAATAAAATCTGTTAATTATTACAACCTGTAGATTATTTACAGATAAAAATTAACAAAAAAGTGGGTGTCATACCACATCCCTGGGGTCAGGACATGCACCAAATAAATAGTTGTTATCCTTACAATATAAGGCAGTGGTTCTCAAACTTTTTTAGGCAACAGCACACCTTAGAGCACATGAAAAAATAGCGGCACACC